TATCCCCACATATATTTATTGTTCAAATATTGAGTTTTAGTATTTCTGAAAATATTGTTCCTGTAATCTTCATTAAAATATTTTGGTCAGTAAACTTTTCATTATTGAAAGAGTCAGTTATTTTAATCCGGAAAGTATGTGTGCTTGTTTCAGTGAATATTTATTTATTATCACTGAAGTTGCTAGGTTGTCTCTAGTTTGGATACAGAGCTGTAACTCTGCTGTTACAAATTCACCAACTGTAAATTCAAATTATTTTGCTTCAGCTTTGAATTTTAAGTTGTATTCTAATTTATGAAGTGCATGGAATTGTTTTTTTTTTTCTTGTTGTTGGTTAAAAATAAAAGTATTATAATTTGATCATGAATATTATTGATTTTCAGACTGTCTGGCTGTAACGTCTCCGAGAGAAGCTGTGCAATACTGTGCTCAGTACTGAACTTCCAGTTCTCTAGTCTGAGAGAATTGGACCTGAGTAACAATGACCTGCAAGACTCAGGCGTAAAGCTTCTGTCTTCTGGATGGAAGAAGTCAAACTGTACCCTGGAATCTCTCAGGTCAGATTCTGTTGTTGTTGGGTTTTTTTTCATTAATTTATATTTATAATATGGATTATATTACTTTACAAACAAAAACATTGTGGAATTCTAAATTTAACTTTTATTCAAATTTAATTGTAACATTAGTCACTGGATATTTTTTTTATATTTATTTTATAATAATTTTAAAAAAAACACTGACTGATGAACAGGTGTACAGAGAGATTTAGGATATTTTGTGTTGATAACATATCAGTTTCCATTCATTTTTACAAACTGTTTCTCAACCGCTGCCTGGGTGGTCAGCTATGTCAGGAATGGTCCCTGCTTTCTGCTTGGTTTCTGAAGATTTCTGATCAGCACCCAGTGTCGGTCAGGAGATTCCACCCTTGAGATGATTTCTTCCAGCAATACTCAGGCTACTGCACCTGTATCTCCTTACTAGAAGGAAAAACGTCTAACCATTTGGAAAACATATCAACCATCACCAAACAACATTTTCCTTTCAGTTCAGTGAACTTTACTTATAGGTCATCAAAACCTTATCTGAACATGGATGTACCACCTGTGGAGGTTTAATACCTTTATATGAACTGTAATCACAAAAATCACAGTAAAAATCATGGAAAATTCACTTTAAAAAAAACACTGTTTCATGTCAAACCTGGAATCTCTCCTTCTGACACATGGTACCTCCCATGCGTCGACTCAGTTTATTCTGATTTTGTATTAATTCTTTAGGTTTGGTTCTCGTGTTTTATTATCCCTGCCGGTGTCTTCCCTCTGTGATCTGTTCGTGTCCCCACGTTTTGTGTTGTAAAACAGTGTTTCCTGTTTTACTTTGTAGGTCTGTGTCTCGTCTTGTGAATTTGGTTCAGCTGTGCTCCCTCCCTGTGTGTCATTCCCTCATTTATAGGGTGTGTCTGCCTATGTTCCTCGTCACGTTGTCTGCTTTACTCTGTGTATTTTTGTATTCCTTGCATCTCTTTGTTCTCCTTTCCCTGCATGTTCTCATGTTATTAGGTTTGTTCATTAGTTTTCCCAGTTTAGGCTTTAGTTGCTTCCTGTTCCTTATTTCCTGTTTTGTACTTCACTTTCATTACAAATAAACACTCACTGGCACCCCAGCCAGTACCTGCATTTTGGATCCTTTTCTCACTACATCACACGACTGCTGCCCCAGCCGTGACAGTAACAAAAAGGAAAAGGTTAGATAAATCATTTCTCAGGCAATGTCAGGGCTTCTCCTCCGGAGTAGCTTCGCTCCATGGCTAAAATCCCTGTGTTAGAAGATGTTAGTGTGGTTTTCATGTTAAGTTTGTTTAACTCCTAGCTCTGCCTGGAGCCTGCAGCCACACTATCACTGCCTAGAAAACAAAATCTGTAAGTTAGTATTAACATTTGCAACTGTTGGTCAGATGAGTAATGTCGCATCTAAAACCACAGACACAAGTGTGTCATGTGCAGTTTATTTCCCCAAATTATTAAAGCACTACTGTTGGCATAATTTGACAAAATCATGGATCATCCCATGTGTTTATTCAAAACTACTGTAACCAGTGATTGTTCTTAAGTAATGTCACTTACTTATTTTAACCCTATGATCTCAACAGTAGTATTATAATACGCCCAACACTACAATGTTCTGTAATCACTGCACATCCATTCTTTATTGTCACTCATGTCTATCTGTGTGATCCCAAATCCTCCACAAGGACCCTTAGAAAGAAACAGTATGTTAGCAGATGAGTGTCCTGGAAGTCAGGCCTGGATCAACAGATTCCAGAGGTGCTGCTGGAAATCATGTAGTCAACTCTCTGCTGTGAGGAAGTAACACTGATTTTGTGACAGTGGGAAGGAAAAACTCGCTTTTAACAGGAAGAAAGCTCTGGCAGAAACAGGCTCAGGGAGGGGCGGGGCCATCTGCTGCAATCGGTTGGGGTAAGAGAAGGAAAACAGGATAAAGCTGCTGTGGAAGGAAGACAGAGATTAATAACAAGTATGGTTCAGTGCAGAGAGGTCTATTAACACATAGTGAGTAAGAAAGGTGACTGAAAAGGAAAAACTCAATGCATCATGGGAATCCCCCGGGAGCCTATGTCTATTGTAACATAACTTAGGGAGGATTCAGGGTCACCTGGTCCAGCCCTAACTATTTGCTTTAGCAAAAAGGAAGGTTTGAAGCCTAATCTTAAAAGTAGAGATAGTGTCTGTCTCCTGAATCCAAACTAGAAGCTGGTTCCACAGAAGAGGGGCCTCCCATTCTACTTTTAAATACTCTAGAAAGAGCAAAGTGCTCTAATAGGGTGATATGGTACTACAAGGTCATTAAGATAAGATGGGGCCTGATTATTTAAGACCTTGTATTGAATTCTGTATTTAACAGGGATCCAATGAACAGAATCACCAGTTACCAGAGTTTGACCCCCGGCAGGTGTGTCGCCGAGTGGGGAAAAAAAAGGTTAGACACACAAACAGGTTGGCGGTTTACCTGGGGCTTCTGTTTAAGACTATGCTTTCTCCTCACCGTCACCCAGCTGCCCTCTTATTTGGATGATGTTATTTGGACATGCTGTTGAGCCCTTTAAGGTTTAGGGCAGTGCTGATGTCTGTTCACCTTTTGTTGACTCTTGAAGTCGTCGGCATTGCTCTGGAGTTGCCTTTTGTCTTCATGGAGAGGATAACCATCCTCAAATCTTCTTTTTCAGGATGAAATTTACATGGAGGTTAAGCTGTGAAATACTCAGCTAAAACATGGCCTGGATGTGTTTCCAAACCTCCACACAGCTCCTGTAGCCGCTTTGCTGAGCTCAGCACCTATTGCAGCTGGGCGTCCCCTCTGCAGCATTGGCTTCGGTACTAAAAACAATAAACCTGAGGACAGTCATTCCTATGACTATGCTTAAATCTGGTGTTGTTTCCTAAGGACAGCCAATGTTATCGGAGTCCTTCCTACGACAGTCGTCATACTTTGAGTTGTATCTATAGTAGTCTGTCAGAAAAACTCTTCCTAAATCAAAACAGCTCACCGTTGCAAATTCTTTGCAGTCCCTCTCTTGGTTAGTTAAAAATTCCTGCATGTGTGAGTCGCTGAAGCACATCTTTCAGTTCCCCTTTTTTGAAAACAGAACAACAGTGGGTCTGAGGCAATTTTACCTCAGGATGGCCAGTCACCGCATGCCCGTAATTCTGCAAAACTCACTCGAGGAATCCTGCCCAACAACACCAAATTGTTATGGAAATTTTAACAATAACAAAAACAATCCTTGTTTGCAGTCTGTCAGGGTGTCTGATCACAAAGGAAGGCTGTATTTCTCTGGCCTCAGCTCTGAGCTCCAACCCCTCCCATCTGAGACAGCTGGACCTGAGCTACAATCATCCAGGATGCTCAGGGATGCAGCTTCTGTCAGCAGGACTGAAAGATCCACGCTGGAAACTGGACACTTTAAGGTATGGAGAATATATCTGATAAAGGAGGAAGAGCTGGAAATATGTCCTGCTCCCTTCATTCACTACCTGTTTGTGCATTTAACATCTGCATGAAACAATCACACATGCAGCCCCAGTTTCAGGAACAGGAACAAGATTCTAGCTGGGGATCTAAAAACCCCTGTGGTGTTTATTGAAAGTTAAAAGCAATGTGCGAACAGGTGTGTCTGTGTGCGCGAGCGGCATGTGCATGTTTGATACATGACTTCCTGGTAAAGCCGTTTTAACAACATCCCTGGTCATAAAAGGGTCATCTGACCTCACCCTGTATATGGCTCAATTCCTTTAACAGTTCACTATATAAAAGCAGAGGTGAGGCCATAAATGGCAGGAGTAAACATTCCTTACTAAATGAGGACACCCAGAACCTTACGTGCAATGTCTGCAGTTAAACACTATAACCTCCTCCACCATTCTACATGTAGGGGAGGAGAATAGAAACAAAAGAATGTCTTTGATCTTGCAGTTTGAAACAAGGTTTACAAATTTACATACAACAATGGCAACATCTATCAAAATCACCCTAACAAAGAGTGATGGTGAAGATGGACTACATTCACAAGATCCTAACCCTGAAATGCGGAAAGGTGAAATAACACTGAGGACAGGTGAAAGATGCAGAGGCAGTTGAGGAAGTGAAAAAAGGAGCCTTTAGTGGACAAAAGACAAAAGTCCAACATCAGGAAACACAAAGTCCATCAACTGGAAATCCAAAGCAGACACAGGAAGCATGAAAAACAATAAGAGCTGCTCGAATTCTCCCAATACTGTGATTCAATGCTTCCTTTATTACACAACACTGGAGCATTATGCTCCTTTATGAAAGGAGAGGACATTACTGTCCCGTAATTCATAGCTACACACCAGCTCTTTACCTAAGAATATAAAAAAGCTGATAAAAATGATCATTCCAAGTGAATTTTCCATTTCCTGCCATGAGCTGCTGATATGATTAAACTTTGAACAACAGGCTGTTAAAGCCACAGCTCGACTTGCAGCATCAGTCTGCAGGAATCACATCTGCTTCTTGTCCAGTTGTTGTTTGAGGAACATAGATTTATAGAAACCCTCTTTAACTCAACATTATGAGCTACATTTACTGATCACAGTGCATTTAAGCTTGACTTGAATTAGATACGTGATGGACACAATTTGACTTTAGTCACAAAAAGCCTGAAAAAAGGAAGAAAACATTTATTCTGCATCATCTCTCAAGCAGGAAACAAAAAGATCAGTATATTTAACAGTGCAGCATTTTGGGAAAAAATCCTTTTCTTTCTCTGATCCAGATTCAGATTGGAGTCACCTCTTTACAGAGAGGCCGAGGACAAATTGATCCTAGATTAAAATAAGCTGTGGAACCAGCGGAAAATGTTAGCCTAGCTTTATCAAAGAAAACAAATTACTGTGTTATAATCAGAGCTGTGGTAGAAGCTGACAACTACAGGTAAATGTTTTCTGTACATTTAAAGGCAAGCAGCCCTACACAAATTCGTTTATATACTTCAGTGCTTTTCAAACACAGAGGTCACAATGTTCTGTGAAAAGCCAACACACACTATAAAATAATGGAAGTGAAAACAATCAATAAATACATTTAGAGAGGACCCATGTGGAAGATACAAAGGCAGAAAGGAAGTGACATTTATTGGTCCAAATGCAAAAGATAGAAATGAGGAAACACAAAGTCCATCAAAAATAAATCCAAAGCAGGCACAGGAAAAGAGAACAGTATATTCACTGGGAGCTACCTGCAAACAAGAGACAGGTGGGAGCAAAGCACAGGTGCAGATGCTGAGAGAGTGTTTGGTTGGTGAGAGACGAGCTGATTGAATGGCGTGTACGTGTTAGGATTTGTGGCTTTTTGAATTGCTACTAGATGGTATTGCTTCTGATGGTTGTTCTCAGGTGAATGATTTGAATTAAGGATTACAGACTTCAGACTTGTGAAGGAACAGTGGTAGGGGTAGTGACCAACAGCCTATATAGGTCTGGACCGGTACCCTTGCCTATTTCTGGAAGATTCTTACAAAAAAAGCAGGCAGTGCTTGTGAACAGCTGGAACTAGACATGGGGAATAGCAGGGAGCAGAAAGCCTTGCTGCCTTCTGTAAAGTATGTCTAAAGACCTGATGAAAAAAGTGAAGAAAACATCAGTGACTGAGCAACTGGCAGAGGCAGTTTGTAGGAGCCATTTTTGGGTTAATACCTTATGTTGCCGCTAGAAGTCACCTTTTTCTGTTTTCATATGGTTGGTTCATGTAAAGGTATTTAAGGTAGATGCACGTAATCGGTGACAGGTGTGTCGTTAGTTGTAAGAAGGCAAACAGTTTGTGACCGCTGTGTTGTTATGTTAAGATGTTATGTGAAAAAAGACCAAAAAGGACGAGACAAGAACTGTTGGAGTTATTGGACTGTTTAATTAATTCACGCATACCATTGACATTGCATCACCCCCGTTAACAACCACCTCAGTGGCTTCAAGCGTAGGCTTAGCCTCTACACAGTTTTTCACATGTTACCTGAGTATGGGAAACATGGCTGAGAATAGAGAAAGGATCAAGGACTGAATGCTTTGCTGATCTTCTACAAGAGGCGATCGTGCCCCGGCTTGGGCAAGACACTT